GGCCAAGTCATTTCAGTTAAAATTTTTTATCTAGTATAAAAATTGTGGGCGCCACAGGCTTGGGCGGCTTGTGGGCGTTAGAGTGGGCGTGGCATATTCGCGTAACAAACTTGCGCTGCGTATAAGGCTACGGAATCTAAATCTGAAATCCCAATTCTCTATCTTTGATAGTTTCCGAGATATCCACGTTCATATTTACGATTTTTTGAAGTTTGTGGGCGGTTTGTGGGCGTTAAAGTAGGCGGGCAAACTTTTTTGTGGGTCAATCAATAGGTATTGATGAGGACAATACATTTCAGTAAAAATTTTTATTCTAGCACCAAAACTGCATGCCTCATCCCAGTATTGTAGCTCTTATAGTTTCCGAGATCTCAGCGTTCATACGGACAGACGGACAGACGGATATGGCTAGATCGACTCGTCTAGTCATGCTGATCAAGAATATATATACTTTATGGGGTCGGAAACGTCTCCTTCACTGCGTTTCAAACTTCTGACTGAAATCAATATACCCTCTGCAAGGGTATAACAAGCACTATGTGGATGATTATGTCGACAGCTTTAAAACAAATCGGGGCCCTTAAATAAGCGAACGGGTTAAACGTAATTGTAATGAAAATATTTCGATTAATGTGGCTTTGTGTCAAATTCCCCAGACGTACAACGACAACTTAATAACGATAAGGACGCAATTTCGCAGGGAACAGTTGCATTGGGATAGCCACAACGACGATCTCACTTTTACCTAAAAACTAAACCGTGTTGATAAGGATATCATAAACTAAATAAAATGCCCCACTTAAGGTAAATTACTTACCCTGGTAGTGTCTCTCCTGGTACGATCCCTTCGGAAATGTCTTTATACAAGATGTGCGGCCAGCTATTGGTTGGAATGATTTTGAACCCTATGAGTTTTTTAATCGACTTAAGAGCTGGGTGGTACAGTTTCAAATGGTTAAGAAATTTAAAATGAGCAGGTGCTACACAGAGAAAATTCTGACGTTCTAATCTGAGTTGAAAATGTTCTTAAAAATAGAACGACATTTTTAAGTTGAACATGTTTTTATTTTGCTCCAATCAATTTGAATTGGCGGTATTTAAGTAAATTGTATGTATGTACATACTATTAGTTCAGTCCTTAGTGTATACTTATCAAAAAGTTGTTAAATAAACTCTATTTAACTTTTCTCTTCTCACCATTTCGTTCTTATATTGATACCAAAATGTACTTACACGGTTTTTAAGAACGAATGTTCTTAATTCAAGAACAATGTATCCAATTCAAGAACAATGTGCTCAATTCAAGAACAATGTTCTTAGATAGTTTTCTCTGTGTATTTTCCAATATTTCTCGAGTCTGACGTAAACACTGAGCTGCATGTGTTTGATGGTCCTTACATCCGAAGCATATTGGCGAATCAAATATTAAGAAAAGGTAGAACTGAGATTCGTTGCAGGAAAGACTAAGTGCGCACCACTTAAATTGTTTTTTACTTTGCGTCTGGAACTGCAGGCTGCGGTTTTGGGAACTCGACTGCAAAATAACATTTTGGACATTTCACAGAGTACGAGTGGAAAGATCCACGATGTGGTCGGATTCGCGTACTTTAATTTCATGGATACACTCGTTTCACCGTGTTGGCGAAATCTTGGATACAACAGATAAAAACGACTGGCGCTGGGTACCGACAAATTCAAGTGCAGCTGATAAGGCTACAAAATGGAATAAGAGAATGAAATACACTACTGGAAAAGTATGGACTAATGGTCCATGAGTCGATTTTCACCCGAACTGTAGGGTGGATCCTAAGGTATATAAGTCGGGCACGTCAATCAATGAAACTGAAGCAAAGGGAGAGCTTACGTCACACGAATTACACTCAGCTGAGCTAAATCAAATTCCCTGTACTGCAAGAACAAAAGCGCTTTAGGCTTGGACTATTTTGGCCCAATAATGTCGACGATCGGCCGAAGCCATTACAAAAGGTGGGTGGCCATATTTACATGCTTGACAGTAAGGCCAACGCATTTCAAACTTGCAGCAGATTTATCGACCGATTCATGTATATTATGTATTCCAAAGAGAGATTTCAATTAAGATTAGATCAGACATGGAATCTAACTTTGTTGGAGCTGATAACGTGATAAAAGCACGATTGGAAATACAATAAAAGTGAAATGAAGAACAAACAAGAAAGCAAGTTAAGTTCGGCAAGCCGAAGTTTGTATACCCTTGCAGTTATAATTATTAAATTTAAAAATACAAAAAATAATATTCCCAATAGTATAAGACAATATGTCAAAAAACACCGAAGCTATAATTTATTTCATATTATTTTCTCACCAATTTTCCGATCGTTCCCATGCAGCTATATGATATAGTCGTCCGATTTTGATAAAATTAAATTTTAAATTCAAAACTAATTAAAAAATGTTATTTCCAAGCTTAGATAGTTTTAAGTTAAAAAACACCAAAGATATAATTTTATTTAATTTTTTTCCCAATTATTCCTATGGGAGCTATAAGATATAGTTGTCCTATCCGGCAGGTTCCGAATTATATACAACCTGTAAAGGAAATAAGACTTTTGGGAAAATTTCATCCCGATAGCTTTAAAACTGAGAGACTAGTTTGCTTAGAAACGGACGGACAGACGGACATGGCTAGATCGACTCGTCTAGTCATGCTGATCAAGAATATATATACTTTATGGGGTCGGAAACGTCTCCTTCACTGCGTTGCAAATTTCTGACTGAAATCAATATACCCTCTGCAAGAGTATAAAGAGTTAAATGGGATTTTAACTGTCAATCGAAACCAAGCTCAGGTGCCTGTTGGGAGCGCCTTTTTAGACTTAGAAGTTACTTTAAAAGAACAAGCGTCTTCTTATCGAAGCGGAAAATATTGTCAATAGAAGACACATGTCCCAGCTGACATAACGGATCCCGGACCCTTGACCCCAAGCCTTTTCCTTCTTGGAACAATGAATTCCATTCCCTTTTGTTTTCGGCAAGTATGGCACGGCGGTCCATCCCCATCCCGCCTACTCGTGGTATGAACTATGAAACTTTATAATCAAAAACAAGGAAGAACGCTAAACAGATACCCGTCACTCAGCTAAATAGAGATATGCGAGTAGCAAAGCGAGATTAAATGCGCCACCTACCGGCGGTAAACAGATTAAAGCGTTATGGGCGTTAGAGTGGGCGTGGCAAATTTCGATAGGTATTGACGAGACCAATACATTTAAGTTAAATTTTTTTATCTAGCATGAAAATTGTGGGCGTCACAGGTTTCGCGGTTTGGGCGTTAAGTGGGCGTGGCAAATTTGTTCGATAGGTATTGATGAAAATACTTTAGTTAAAATTTTTATTCTAGCATAAAATGTGGGCCACAGTTTGGCGGTTTGTGGGCGTTAAAGTGGGCGTGGTACTCTACTGAAACAAACTTGCGCTGCGCAGGAATCTCAGAATCTGCGTGCCTAATCCCAGTATTTTAACTCTCATAGTTTCCGAGATCTCAGCGTTCATACGGACAGACGGACAGACGGACATGGCTAGATCGACTCGGCTAGTAATCCTGATCAAGAATATATATACTTTATGGGATCGGAAACGCTTCCTTCTGCTTGTTACATACTTTCCGACGAATCTAGTATACCCTTTCACTCTACGAGTAACGGGTATAACAAGGGAGAACGCTATAGTCGAGTACCTCGACTATCATATACCCATATCATACCCATACTCAGCTAAAGGGACTAAAGGGAAATGGAGATATGCAAGCAGTGAAGCGAGATTGAAATGCGGCAACTACCCGCGAACTCAATATATGCTTATGTGGGCGGTAGACAGATTAAGGCGTAATGGGCGTTAGAGTGGCCGTGGCAAACTTTTTTTGGGGTCAATCGATGGGTATTGTCGAGACTAATACATTTCAGTTAACATTTTTTTCAAGCTTGAAAATTGTGGGCGCTGCAGGCTTAGGCGGTTTGTGGGCGTTAAAGTGGGCGTGGCATCTTCGCGTAACAAACTTGCACTGCATACAAGGCTACGGAATCTAAAACTGAAATCCCAATTCTCTATCTTTGATAGTTTCCGCGATATCCGCTTTCATATTTACAACTTTTGAAGTTTGTGGGCGGTTTGTGGGCGTTAAAGTGGGTGTAGCAAACTTTTTTTTGGGTTAATCAATAGGAACTAATGAGGACAATACATTTCAGTTAAATTTTTTTCTAGCATCAAAACTGTATGAGCCACAGCTTTGGGCGGTTTGTGGGCGTTAGAGTGGGCGTGGCACATTGCTGAAACAAACTTGCGCTGCGTAAGAAGCTCAGAAGCTGCATGCTAAATCTCGACAGCCTAGCTCTTATAGTTTCCGAGATCTCAGCGTTCATCCGGACGGACACACAGACGCACAGGCGGTCAGACAAACAGACGGACATGGCTAGATCGACTCGGCTAGTGATCCTGATCAAGAATATATATACTTTATGGGGTCGGAAACGCTTCCTTCTACCTGTTACATACTTTCCGACGAATCTAGTATACCCTTTTACTCTACGAGTAACGGGTATAACTATAAAGGGAAACCTGGCCTCCAAGAAAACCCCCGGAACTCCGACCAAACGTCGCCAAACTACCGCGGCGGAAAAGCGAACGAGCGAAGTCCTACGCCAAGCGCAGACACGCGGAGCGGACGAGAAGGTCGTGCCCTTCGCCACTGAAAAGGTTTGCTGAACAGTTCGAGCTCTAAGCCCGCCTCTACTTTGTAGAAACGTTACCAAGATACGGACGCAGCGGTCTTCTACAAGAGGCTGGTGGAATCCATTGGGAAATCTAACCGAGCCAAGCTCGAAGTGGTAGACTGGGACAAGATCCCAAGCAAGCCCAGGGCCAGAGTCAGGCTCTCGGAAAAAACTGCGGTTTCTCAACCTGCGTAAGGTCTGTAACCCGAGTCTGCCAACCTCTGATTGGCAGAGGCATAATAAGAAATCCAGATGACTGCTGAAGGCAGCTGGGCCGCACCCACTATGGGTTGGAGATCGCTGATCCCCTTGACGACTATGTTCTTCGGCGGCACTTCTCGAAGTCACTTCGGCGACACTTCCAGAAGTGACTTCGGCGACACTTCCAGAAGTAACGCAGAAGTGACTTCGAGAAGTGTCGCCGAAGTGGCACATTTCTTCCCGATGGGAGTAACTTCCGCGATCCGAATGCGATATCGCGGACGATCGTTTTCATCTTCTTGAAGTCACTTAATAGTGCCTTCCGCGATAGAAAATGCTTGCGATATTGCCGAAGTAACTTCTAAAAGTGTCGCCGTAGTCACTTCTGGAAGTCACTCCGAAGTGACTTTACATTTGCCTTCTACAAGCATCTAGAAAAGTCTTTCCCAATTGGAAAAACTTCAATAAAAACATATTTTTTTATACTTTCAATATTTTGCATTTATTTTGTGTATCCTTATGCTTTGTCCGCTTGCATACACGGTCCCTGGCATGTAGGAACAATGTTATTTAGGTCCAGCTTCGTCGACATAAGAAATTTATTAATAACCATTTCTAAAAGAAACAGAAACAAAAATTTTTTTTGTTCAGTCAAAGTAAAAATAAACTAGAAGACATTACCTTTTACAATGAAATATGTTGAGAATCGTTGGATCCGCAATTACACGCCAAGTAATGTCCACAGCTAACTTGTCCGTAAATAGCTTTAAATAATCGTACAGCTTTGTTGAGGGGGATATTTAAATATGTTAAGCATTAATAACATTTAGAAAAAAATAAAGCAATATTTTTAAAACGCACAAAGTTGATACAAAACCGCACTGTACACAGACAAATTGCGCAACGAAATGACGCTCGGGCAAAAAATAATAGCGTGGGTCAAAAGGAAGACCAACAAATTTTCAAAAAAAAAGGGGTAACGGAAAATTACAGCGACCTCTTTTTATGGCTTGTTTTTTTCCATTAATTTTGCTTTTGTAAAATGTGTCTTTCTATCGCGCAGAAGTTACTAAGAAGTGACTCCTGGACGACAGGCGATAGAAATATCGCCCTTTTGCTTGCAGGGAATGAATAACAATAGAGTTTGTTCAGTTTGGACAGGGACCTTGAGTTCGGAGGTGAAGGCGTTGATGTCAACTTTACTAATCATAGAGTGTTTGGGGAAATACAGGTTTAGACAACGTTTCCGTTTGAACAAAGCTACATGCAAAAAATTATAAGCGAAAGTTAATAGCTTAATATCCACCAATACTAACCGGTAATATCCTTACATTATGAAAAAATAGCCAATAATGTATTCAAAAAATTAACTAGACCATATGCGTTAAAATCAGATACCAAATTCTTGTTGGCTCTAAGATTCTATGCAAGAGTTCCCTCCGTGTCCCGAGCGGTCAAAGAAGTATCAGAAGCGATTGCAATGCTGAGCCAGGAATTTATAAATATGGAATTGATGAGCAAGGAAGACAACGATTGACTTTTATAACATAGCAAAGTTTCTCAAAGTTCTTGGTGCCATAGATTGCACGCATGCCCGTATACAGTGCACGGGAGATGACAACGGGATTTGTTTCGGAACAGAAAAGGATACTTTCATTGAATGTTCGGCTGTATGCAATGCCAAGCTTCTGCTAACTAATTTGGTTGGATCTTCACACGACAGCACCATTTTTAACAAAAGTTGCCTTAAGTATCGTCTCGACAACGTCGGATTTAAAACCCATTATATTTTAGGAGATGGAGGATATGATGACTCCACTTCTAAGTCCTAAAACTGAGGCTGAGAGACTATACAATGAGTCACAAATACGAACTGGGAATACAATCGAACGCTGATTCGGAGTTCTGAAAAGATGGTTTCCAGTTTTATCTACGGGCATGCGGATTTCTTTAAACACAGCATTGGCAGTAGTAGTCGCATGCGGATTTTTGCACAATATTGCCATTTTGGAAAATAGTCCATAGCTGATGAGGAAGATAAAAACTAAAAAGAAACTCCCTATGTTGATGAAATGGTACAGGAAAACGGGAACGATGAACAGGAAGACATAGGCAAATCTTGATTAGTGAATACTTCGTTACGTAAGACTTTTTTTGTTTTATTATCAATAATAATGATTATAACCTATTTCAGACTATGAATTCAGCCTTTTCGCAGTATCAGCATTAGTAAAAAATAAAGAAAAAATATTAATTAGCAAACTTAAACTTCTTGCAAGCTTTTGTCTGTTCAAGCACCAATTCAAGCAGATCTTTTTTTAAGTTTTTGTTTCGGAGTTCAGCCAGCTGCCTTTCCATATCGAGTTTGTGACGCTCCATGTCGCATGAATGTTTCTCTGCAGCTCTCTCGATCTTATTCCTATACAAGGTGAGTTTCAAAGTAAACAGGACTTTTAAAAAAAAAGACAGAACAAATAGTTTTTTCGGCAAAATCAATTTATTTTATTCAAAATAGTCTCCTTCTGCTTTAATACAGCGTTTTGCACGGTCCAAAAGCATGTCGAACGAGTGTTTTAGCTCGTTGCCCGGTATGGTCGCCAGTATGCCGGTGCAAGCCTTTTGAATAGCCTCTACGTCTGCATAACGCTTTCCTTTCATCGGCAAATGCATTTTTCCGAAAAGGTAGAAGTCGCACGGTGCCATACCAGGTGAATACGGGGAGTGGTTGATGGTTAAAATGTGATTTTTGGTCAAATAGTCGGTCACAAGCGTCGATCGATGAGACGGCGCATTATCGTGCAACAAACGCCAACTTCCATCTTCGCGATATTCGCGCCGAACACGTCGAATACGGCGCACCAATCGCTTCAAAACTCCAAGGTAGAATACCGCATTAACGTTTTGGCCGGGTGAAACAAATTCTTTGTGGACAATACCCTTGGAATCATAAAAACAAATCAGCATTGTCTTCACTTTTGAATTCTCCAGGCGCGATTTTTTGGGTTTCGGCTCGTCCGGCGCCTTCCATTCAGCACTCTGGCGTTTCGTTTCGGGATCATATTGAAAACACCACGTTTCGTCACCAGTCAAAATCTTGTAAAGGAAGTTCGAGTCTTTTTTTGCCTCTTTAATGATGTCCTTCGAATGTTACATTCTGAGAAATTTTTGGACGTCAGTCAATTTGTGAGGAACAAACCGAACACACCTTTTGTAAGCCCAAATGTTCGGTCAAAATGCGATAAATCGATGTTTTTTTTTTTTTTTTTTTTTTTTTTTTTTTTTTTTTTTTTTTTTTTTTTTTTTTTCAATTGATAAATCGTGTTTTGGATAAAATTGTTTCATCAATTGAAACGTTTCCGTAAAAGTTTTACCAATTTTAAAAAAAAATTTAATGTTGGCTCTTTTTTTGAAGCTCATTTTCGCACCGATGACAAAAACATACTGACACTTAAAACGCAATAACCTCACATCCAATAGATGAAATGTCCTGAAATTTTTACTGGAAGTCGATAAACGATAGCAGATTCTAACGCACCAGTTGACATATAGATGGCGCCACTAGAGGGCGCTAGATTAAAAAAGTCCTGTTTACTTTGGAACTCACCTTGTAGTATTCTTGCTGAAGCTTAAGCAAGGCAAGTCTGTCCTCTTCTGCTCCTCTCTTTCGAGAGACACACAGTTTCTTCGAGTTCTTAGTTGTTCTTTAGCTTTGTTGGATTTCATCCTTGAAATCCGCACTTCCTTACGCGGGTATCCTCTTGCAGCGCGGGATCCTCCTAAAATTGTTAAAGTATGTAAACATAAGAGTTAATATTAAAAAATGTACTTCAGTTTTGAAACCAGTAAACCAGCTTATCCGATGCAATAACTTTTAGCGGCGTTCAAACTAGGTGGTTCTTTATCCTTATCGTCGATCAAACAAACATATGCTGCAGATAAGAAAGTTATTGTAAACGTTATTTAAATCATCCGTCACACTTGCCATTATCGTCAAAATATTTTCCAACCAAGTGGAGGAAGTTTGGATAATGCTGTCTTTCCTTTCGGAGATGGCGAAAGCAGAAGTGGAGGGCGCGACTTCTCCACCAGCGCGGTACTTTTCAAGTTTCTCGGCAGCAAATTAATTCGGGATTCCTTTTTTAGGTGGTCATAATTTTTCATCAAAGTTTTCCACGTCCGTTCTTGTCCAGATTGGACAGCGTATCTGCTTTCTCCTCCCAGGTTATGACATCATTCTTTTTATTTTCCAAAGTGTGCTTCACACTGTCCACAGATCAATGAGGGTATGCTCCTCCAACAATAAAAAGTTTTTTCCACGAACTTTTCTTCCCGCATAACAGCACAATTTTATGTTTAACAGCACTCTGTAATTGTTTTTCGTTCAGATAAATTAAAGGCGTCGAGTAAACCGATTTGCTTTTAGACCACTTTATCTGGTCTTTAAGTTTTCCGGACAAATAGCTATCAGGGACTATGACAGGGACTCAAGAAACCGGCCCTTAGGATTTTAAAGTAAAAAGTTAGAATCGTTTTGGTATTGGTCTAATGGATAATACTAAAAAGAAGTATATCCTAACTGATTGACAAAATAATTTAACGTACAAAACTTCAAAACTGCATAAGAATCTATTACTATGTTTATGCTAAGGGTTTCATGATTTCTTAAAAGCGTGAAATAAAATTTGTTCCGGTTTATGCGACACGGCCGAATTCATGCATTTTATCAATCTCAGCTGACAGAGATGCCGGACAAGTGGAAAAAGGTGTGAACGATTATTAAACCGATTATTTTGTTCGATTCGCATGAAATAATCTTGCTAGTATTAAAGATAAAGTGTGTGCAAGCCAGTATAAAATATTTTCTACCGTCAAAATAAAAGCCTAGTACTCAGATCGACGAAAACCGCGAGCTAACCATAGGAGTGAGCGAGAGGCATATACGCGGCTAACGCTTTTCGTCTGGTCTGTTTTTCAGCGCGGTACTCAGATGAGCTAAGGAAATACCAGAAAAAATACCAGATTTTGCGAGTGAATTTTCGATGAACGCCGTTAGCCGCGGCACAAAGAATAGGAAATTTAATCTTTGGCGGTGTTCGTGCAAGGGCGATGTGGAAACTAAAAATTAAAAATGGAAGGAAAACCCCAAAATCGAATCCAGAAGGTCAGAGCAGATGAAATAGGACGCCAAATCTAAGCTTATGCCCTTTATTGCGGGATTTCACCGACAGGAAGCAATTCCACAAAAGGGGCAAATTCGCAGAATAGTTGAAGTGCTGGAGAAGATCCACAAGAGAATCCCAGTGGCAAGAAACATGCCGAGTGGGACTTCGATCTCTACATGGACATCCTGCCGGGCGCGTCCTCGCAAAGAAAGTAAGATCTGGCCAAAAGAATTGGATCGCGTTGTACTAATAGAAGTATCACCACCAGTAATACAATCTCCGACGACCTCTCCATTAGGACTTCGGACACCACCACCACCAGCTACTTGGCAGCTTAAGCGGAGCTGGAGGACCCGCTGGCTTCTATAGGGAGGAGGAAAATAGGGCGCCCGCTAAGGAACAGTTGGAGAAGCCATAGTCAGCCACTGCCAGGATGCTGGGCGACTTCCTGCAGCATGAGCGGATCAACCCCGTTCCCAATCCGGCTCCCACTTCCTCAAGGTCTCAAGGACTCGGAGCTGGACTGCGGTGGAGCGGAAAAGATGGCGAAGCATCCGTGGGACGAAAAGTTAGCTTTAAACTACTAATTTACATAAATAAAAACATTCGTTGAACATTCCATTTATTATACCCGTTACTCGTAGAGTAAAAGGGTATACTAGATTCGTCGGAAAGTATGTAACAGGCAGAAGGAAGCGTTTCCGACCCCATAAAGTATATATATTCTTGATCAGGATCACTAGCCGTCTGTCGTCGTCCGTATGAACGCTGAGATCTCGGAAACTATGAGAGTTACAATACTGGGATTAGGCACGCAGATTCCTGAGATTCCTGCGCAGCGCAAGTTTGTTTCAGTAGAGTGCCACGCCCACTCTAACGCCCACAAACCGCCCAAGACTGTGGCTCCTACAGTTTTGATGCTAGAATAAAAATTTTAACTGAAAGGTAATGTTCTCATCAATACCTATCGATTGACACAAAAACAAGTTTGCCACGCCCACTCTAACGCCCATAACGCTTAAATCTGTATACCGCCGGTAGGTAGCGCATTTTAATCTCGCTTTGCTGCTTGCATATCTCCATTTAGCTGAGTAACGGGTATCTGATAGTCGAGGTACTCGACTATAGCGTTCTTCCTTGTTTTTATTTTATTTCTTTGTGTACCAGCAGACTCCTCCTTTTTATACCCGTTACTCGTAGAGTAAAAGGGTATACTAGATTCGTCGGAAAGTATGTAACAGGCAGAAGGAAGCGTTTCCGACCCCATAAAGTATATATATTCTTGATCAGGATCACTAGCCGAGTCGATCTAGCCATGTCCGTCTGTCCGTCTGTCCGTCTGACCGTCTGTCCGTCTGTCCGTCTGTCCGGATGAACGCTGAGATCTCGGAAACTATGGGAGCTAGGCTATTGAGATTTGGCGTGCAGATTCCTGAGCTTCCTACGCAGCGCAAGTTTGTTTCAGTAGACTGCCACGCCCACTCTAACGCCCACAAACCGCCCAAAACTGTGGCTCCTACAGTTTTGATGCTAGATAGAAAATTTTAACTGAAATGTATTGTTCTTATCAATACCTATCGATTGACCCAAAAAAAAGTTTGCCACGCCCACTTAAACGCCCACAAACCGCGAAAACCTGTGACGCCCACAATTTGCATGCTAGATAAAAAATTTTAACTGAAATGTGTTGGTTTCGTCAATACCTATCGATTGATCCAAAAATAAATTTGCCACGCCCACTCCAACGCCCATAACGCTTAAATCTGTCTACCGCCGGTAGGTGGCGCACTTTAATCTCCTTGGCTGCATATCTCCATTTCCCTTTGAGTAACGGGTATCTGATAGTCGAGGTACTCGACTATA